TTAGATAGTCCCTAAAAATTAGAGCAAGTAATTTCCTATGCAGACAGTCTTTTTTTTTTTCTTTTTTTTTCTCCCCTCTGGATAAGACAGAAAATAACACATGTACTGCTAAAAGACTTACCAGTTTCTCAAAAGTGAGGAATCAGTAAATGATGCTGTTGCCATCACTCTTTGAAAAGAGATAATACTTCTAGATGGAAATATCATTGTCTGTTATCTTTTTTATGATCTCTCTCTCCTATATATTATTTAACAATTCCTTCTGAGCTGAGAAACAGGTCTGGATTTGAGAACAGTAATTCATTATTACACATTTTGCAAGCCTGTGTGCATTTTCGTTACAGACATCTGATGGCAAGATGGTAAACGTGGAGAGATATGGAAAAGGAAACTTCATAGGGGGAGAGAAAATTGACTCTCATAACTGTCATCCCTTCTATTTGCTATTTCTTTCCTGTAATTGAAAATTGTAGAAAAATGTGTATTTGGGGGATTTTTAAATTATCATTTTTATTTATTTATTGTTGCTCTTCATTATTAACTGAGTGTTTTAAACAGGAGCATAATTACAGCACTCCTTTCTTGGAGTAGTGGAGGTAAACACTGATTTTAATCCTGTAGTTTGTGGAAATCATCTTGAAATCATGCTTGAAAAATTTGCTGTGAGATGCGGAGTTACAGGACTTAATGGCAGAACTGTGGGCTGGCCAGAACTGCAGTCATATTGCTAGGGATTGTAAGCCTATTAGAAGTGGAAGCTGCATTTGGAAAAATGTGGAAAGAGCTGATTTTGTTTTCAGAAGACCACATGCTGTTTTCTGTGGTAGCTTCTGCAGTCAGTAGATCAGTAGTCTTGAATAGTGCAAACTGCCAAGAATGCCCGGAGTCTTGTTGCCAAAGAGCAAGTGTGAGTATTATTTGAACACTGGTCTGTCATAATTATTTCAGTGTGATACACAACAGGAGGTGCCTGTTGTTCTTTTCAGTCTCCATGTACAGATAAACTTTGTATACTCCAGGGAGCTCTATTTTAATGTTTTACCTCTGTCTTCTGCTGTATTCACAGAAAGCTCTTGCTAAATTTAAAAGAGGTAAGAGTATTTCCTGGTGCTCACTTGCATTTTTACTTCTGTATGCTTTAAGGTCCTCATATCATCTTGTAATGTGTTGTCTGCCTTTTCCATCACTTCTCATCTTGGGCTTCTTTTGTCTTTGTCGTACTCTGCTAAGTGATACTGCGCCCACTTACAATAAGAATTAAAGCATACACTTTTACTTAGGTTGTAATTAAAGCCTACTAAAATGAGGATTTCTCCCATATGTGTTTTGCTAGTGCTCAGGTTTCTCAGGACGCTGCCTTTGCAAGCAGGATCTCAAAGTTAAAAGTGTGGTGTCAGACCCTGCCTCAGACTTCTTATGCCTCATTCCTCCTGTGTGTACAAAGGAGAAGTACACTCATCTTTTGTTGTCTTTTAAGATAATTATAGACAATTTTAACCTTCCTGATGAATTCGGAAACTGGCTTTTGAAGAAACTGTTGTCTTTTTATTGATTACATACCTACATTGGAGTTCCTGTAGCAGTGCTAATTTTGAACTAGAAATACTTTGTATCTCTGAGTGAAGCCTGCTATCCTTTGTAATGATACTTCTTCTTCAGGTACTTAGGATAGTGGCAGCCCAAGTTATTTTGTGTCTTGACATCTCCCATACGCATCCAGCTCTGTACAACATTTAGTATCTGATCAGCCTCTAGGCAGCAAGTAGTTTTGACCCTTTCTTTCTTTTTGCATACTGCGGGGTAATTGATACCTTAATGTATTCCTCGGAGTTGCTCCAAAATGCTGGTATTTTCTGTTCATTTCAGTTCAAATTTGAACACTTTGTATTATGTTTCTCAAAGCACAACTGTTGTAGAGTAACTTACCTCATTTTGAGAATTGGTCATTTTGAGAGACTTTCCAAGACCTTGCTAAATCATGTGGATTTAACAGGATTTGCTGACATCTGAGATGCGTGCCAATTGCAGTTATATTACACCTTCACCTTCTTCTTTTTTTTTTTTTCTTCTTTTGCCATATTTTTATGCACATGCCATAACTGTTAGTAAGTTATCAAGCAGCTGATTTTCCAAAGAGCTTAAAGCTTAGAGTGTTGTTGCTTGCTTGATATTCTGAATTATTGTGTCCCATTCTCACTGGCTTTTTGGTTTTAATTTTTGTTTCACAGTGTTCCTGCACTGAAATAAGATCTTTGTTGCAGTTTGGTTGTCATTTTTTTTTTTCGTATGTGTAGAAAGCACAAGAGGAAGAAAACAATCCCAAATAAAAAATTAATTAGCATTTATAAATGAGACACGTTTTTGGTATTTATAAATAAATATGTACATATGTATACATGGTTATAACAGCTCTGATTGCTCCTGAAAAGTTGGCAGGGGAATCTCTTGGGGATCTCACAAGCTACTTAAAATTCTTCTGTATCAATACACACTTGATAATTGGGTAATTACTGTCAATTAGCCTAAGGTCTTTAAGTAGCTTGCAAATGTTAAACAGTCTACTGAGTTTGAGGTGTGATGTATGTCTTTGTAAGGCACTTGTAACTGTCTAGCAGATCTGTCAGCTTGCATTTTGTATGGCACGCCAGTAAGAAAGCAATGTTCTGTTTCTGCTAGAGGAAAAATACACGAGTAAAACTCAACAAGAGGCTACATGCATGTCAGGTAGAAGCCATGGTCTACATAACCACCCAGATAAAGGTAGATTTTGCGGTCACTTTTTGAGTCTCACAGGAATAACCCCAGGATAGGAAGCTGAATTAAAATATTGCCATTAAATATCAATTTCTTCTCTTTTCTTCTGGCCACCCGCACGGGCCAATCCTTCCTTCTAAAAAACAGCTCCGAAAAAAACTGACTTTTGAAGACTCTTGTTGTGGTTTGGAAGGAGGATTTTGTTTTCTTAGTGAAGCAGCTCTTGAAAGTCTTGAAGGAGCATGTAGCTCTGTGTTTTATTGAAGAGTATTGGGCAAGCAGTTATATCTGAGGGGTTTGCTGGCAGGGAGAGTGTGGACACTTTGCTCCTTGGTAGTTGTACGTGTTGGAATGAAGCAGCTCTTGTTCTTCTCCAGAAATGGCTGTCTGTCTGTCTTCCTGATGACAGTGGAAACAGGGCGAACCTTTTTGGGACACAAAACTGATTCTGGGTTGTTACGGAATTGGAAGTATCAGTTTGTAGCTCATTTATTTTTGGTGTTTCCTGTTTAATTCTTCAGATCATTCTTCTAAGAACTCTTACAGAAGCAGATTTGTTTTTGTTTTTTTAATTGCCCTCCACTCTTGCCCCAGCATTTCCTACTATTTACCCATCTACACATACAAGTGCTTCATCAGTCTATTTTCCCCTAGGATCACTCTGAGAACGCTGTCCATTCTGACTTCTTAATTCTTTTCAGTAGCTACTTTTAGAGGGGGAAAAAAAACAAAAAAAGTTGCCTTTCCTATTGTTTAATCTTGTGTTGAGCTTTTTTTTTTTTAATTATTTTTATTATTATTATTATTATTTTAAATATACCTAAGTTTACTAAGTGGTCCAGAGTACTCTGTATGACCTTATTGTACTCACTATTTTTCATGTCCCCAGTCCTTATATTTATTTCAGACCGCTGATGAAAATTTCAGTCCCTGTGTCAGTTCTTGCAGACCCTACCTATATACATTTTGATTTGACACAGAGAGCAACTGACAAAATCTGTTAGTAGTTTCTTTGTAGTTCTTTTAATGTATTTTCTTTTTTTTTTTCTTCTCATATACCATTCTGTCAGCCCCTCCATTTCACTAGCGAGAGAAACTCAAGTCTTCATCTGTCTCTTGTCTGCAGTAGTATCTTTCAAAATACTTAGGCTCCTCTTACCATACACAAGCTCTCTTCCTTCAAACTCTTATTGAAATAAATGTTCACTATGAGAGCAGGAAGAAATCAACGTATCACTCTTGTACTTGATGGCTGTCTATCTTTTTATTAAGCTACCATTTGATGAACTGATGTTTTTGTGATGAATCAAACTGTAATAAAAACTCCTGTTATATTTTGTATTGGAAAATGACTATGAGTGCATTTAGAATTAATATTTTATATTCAGTTATTCTATTTTGTTGACTTTAGCTTGGTGCTTTATACTTAAGCTTCCAGTCATGCTTTTTTAGGAATAGAATATGATTATGAAATCTTTCAATGTATTTAATAGTTTGCAGAGACCATTAATGCAACCTTAAAAGTGATACATTTTGAAAACAGCAAGAAATGGAAATGCAACTCATTCTAGAGTGAATTTTATATTTACAGTTTCTTGTGACTAATTAAAACACCATTTGACTTGAGATTTTTAATCCCTCTGTACTCTAGTGCTATGTTCTACTTGTAAAGATGATGTCAGGCACAGTAAGGCTCTTCATACATTTACTAGCTTACTTGTCACTGTCACTTAGAACTTTGAAGATAAAAGAAATTACTCAAGTATACTCACACACACACGGATCTTCTCCTGAACTGTTAACAGTGATTAGCATTTTAGGTACATCTAGGTCGTTAATTATTAAAATAAAATTTAATTTTGTCAGTACTTAATTGTACTGACATTGCTTTTTGCATTCTCTATGACTCTGGACTGCAGCCGGTGATTGTATACTGCTTCTTCAAATGGTTAAGTAGCTGCAGATGAGTAAAATGTTTTCTTGCTGTACATCCTAAATCAATATGGGGCATCACTGATTCTTGTTATGTAACTATCTCAGATTGCTGTCTGGGGCAAGCTATCCCCCAAACAGCTTAGTGCAGCTCTCTGCAGTGGACAAAAGAGACTTTTCTCTGTCTCTTGCCTTCATATATTTGCATTTTTGAGTTCAAAGTAGATCATAAAGAGAAACAAAGGTAGAAGTGCAGACCTGTTTAGAAGTAAGTTATCATACTGAATTATATTTCCTCTAACACTTTTCTCTAGATTCCCTCTGGCCAAAGATTCGTGTTCCTCTGAAAGTTGTTAGGACTGCAGAAAACAAACTCAGTAACCGCTTCTTCCCCTACGATGAGATCGAAACAGAAGCAGTGTTGGCTATTGATGATGATATCATTATGCTAACCTCAGATGAGCTCCAATTTGGCTATGAGGTAAGAGAACTCTGTTTTTTTTTCTTCTCTTACACTGTCCATTGCAACACGGTGTTTTTAAAGTGAAGGAAGGGTACTGCTGATTCAATTTGTTGCATCTCAGTTTATTGTGGCATTTCAGTGCTCTCTGACATGTTTTTACAGATTGCAATTACTTCATGGAAAACACTGCCCGCTAACAGAAAAATTTCAGTAATTGGCACAGTGAAACCAAGAGCTTCTAGAAAGCATTGCCTAATTTGCGTTGTGTAGATTTGTAATGGAAGTGGTCTGGAAACTGTGAATAGGATTCATTTAGTCAATTTCAATAAGTTTCCTGATATGATGACTTTAGTGCTGTGTAGCTTAATATTTCAGATATTTCAGAGGAGATTTAGCAGGGATTACAAGGGTTGAAGTTCCATACCTTTGGACTCTGCTTTGCTGGCTGCTGTGATGTAGTCTCTTAAAATAATTTGTTCGCTTGTCCCATTATCAAGCTGTTAACATTCATACACCTTAAAACAAAAATAACTGCTTTTCATTGGCCTCTTTACTGTAAAGCAGCATTTTCTGTGTTGGTAGGGGTACATTTCCATCACACTGATAGACAGGACAATTTTGAGAGATTAAGTGTTGGGAACAGAGGATGTCTCTTGGGGACATGCCAAAGTAAGGTGGAGTGCTGTGAAAAGAAGTGAAGAATGTCAAGGAGATACATGTATCATATGCTTGAAATGGCAAAGCTTCAACAGCTGCTGTTGTAATGAGGATATCAACAAAGAGAAGGTTTCTCCAAATCAGTTACCCATAGCAGTATGAAGAGGTGAAAGTCTTCATAGACATGTTTTAGTTGTTCGTCCAAAAGTACACTTGCTGAAAGCCACTCTGTTAATTTCCTTGCAAAACTTTGACTCGAATAAATATTGCCTTCAGTTTCTGAGTATATGACACAGTCCATAATACGACATGACTGTCCTGCACATGTGTAAGACAAACATGCTCTGTGAATAAATCATAAACTTTACAGAATGTAAGTTATGCTTAAGAATATATCATTCACACCTGTATCTGCAGTATCAAGAGCAAAACAACACTGAGGTTTGTATATGAGAGCTAGAACATAAAACAATTACGTAAGTTGAGTGTAATAATGGAAAATACTATCCAAAAGGGCAGAAAGCAAATGAAATGTGATAGTTGTATCATTTCTAATACTCAAATGCATTTGTTAACAAAAGAAGATATTTTTTCAGAAATGATGGAAGTATTCAATGTGAATATTTATGTGGTAAGATGCTTCTCACTCTCAAGTCAAAGAGCCTTAGCAAGCAACAAGTTTCTGGACTCAGGAAGTTACGTGTGGTAATGCAGGTATGTTGATACCATAACAAAGATGTTAGGAGCAGAAGGCAGAGGTTTAATCTATTGTGTGTCTGAAGAAAGGAAATACTTCCCTTGCCAGGTTAATAGTAATGAGTTAGTGCATGGAGTGTGAAAGATGGAATGAAGGGAAGACAACTGAGTTGAGGCTTTTTTGCGGCAACATATGCCTCTTCTGTCTACTCTGGTCACACCACAGAACATTTTAAGCACTGCATTACAGCAGCAAAGCAATGAAGTGTTGGCAGTTCTGCAAGCCACTTTACTTTTGTCCATGTTGGTGCTTCTAACTACTACTTTGAGGGTGAACTGGTGTGATAAAAAAAAAAAAAAAAATCATAACGTGCATGCTGTGTGAATTCTGGCTCCATTTCCAGTTTGATTTTCCTAGAGCTGGCTCGAAGTAAATAAGAATAAACCTAAGCAACAATGTAAGTAGTTACAAATGAATCTCTACTACTGGCAAAACAGGTTTGGAGGGCTTTGAAGCAGAATTTTCAACTGCACCACTGCAGCTGAGTTACAGTTGTGTCAGCCAGAAGTAATGAATTAGTACTGTGATGCTCAGGTGTCTGAAACATTAATTAGAACATCCTCTAACGAGAATATCTGTGACTTCGTATATGTTGAGTCTGGTGCCTTAAGCAGGAAAGTGTTATCCTCTTGCAAAAAGGTGAGGCAGAGAAAGTTGAAGTGAATTGCCCTGTGGCCAGTGTGACAAGGTGACAGCTACATCCCTGGACCTGACTGCTGGGCTGTGCTGGCAGATTTGTTGACCTTCTGTTGGCTGCAGGCACTGCCCGAGCAACAGGCCTTGTGTTTGGTGTCTGCTTGGACATGTAATTGCTTACACTGGCAGAATAAAAACTTTTTTATTATAAATCTTATTCCTTTTTAATTTTGAGAATTTATCTTAGTACACAGCCACATAGATGGAAAATTGAAATGTATTATTGATAGTCGAGACAAACCCATGGGAAGCTTAAACTCTTACATTTTGAGATTGCTTCCTCCCCCCTCCCCCATAAAATAAATGAGTAAAAATGTCTTTGAATACAGAAGCACAGTGGATTATTTTATAAATATACAGTTTTCCTCTTAAGAAGGGTGAGTGATGTAGTTCCTACTCTCTGGCACAGAAATCGGGGGCTGAAGATTGATCTTTCCTGTCCCTGAGTGTCTGTGACTTGTTTGACAAGCCTGAGCTGGCTCCCAGATGTTTGAATTGTCCTCAGCCTGTGATAATTTATTTATCTGTTTATGTGTGTTACCAGAAAAGTATCTCTCAGACTCTTGACTCATTTGCAGGAGAATCCAGAGGGAACAGTAGCAGCATATAATGTTACTAGAAAGTTTTCTTTTAAAAGTTTTTCTGCTTCTGCTTTGGTTACAAGAAGGGTTGGAAACGTGACATTTTGTAATTTTCTCTTCTCCTCCTGACATCCTTAGACCTTACATTTAAACATATGGCCAAACCCTCTCTGTCACAGACTTGTCTGAATGTACAGGGCAAGCCTAAAAAAAACCAGAAGCTTTGATCTCGGTACACTTTCAGCCATAAAAAATTATAGTAACACTCAAAGTGTCAGACATTTTTTACTTGTTAAAAGTGAGCTATTATGGTACAGTGATTTATTGCAGAGCATAAATCTATTGGAGCAAGCAGAAAAATAGTCCCTGTGTGCTGCTGCATTAAAGTAGCATAAGAATACTCAGGACGTTCTGACTTATGAAAAAAGACTACTTCTGTACGTTACATAGTGAAATCACAGACATGGCTTGAGGCACTGGAAATAATCTGCTGGGGCTGGATCATTTTTCATAATTACCAATCTTTGTTTTTCACAGAGAGAGTATCAGAGAGCCAAGAAAAGGAGCAAATATGTAAAATATCGTAATCCTAAAAAATTAAAGCAGAATTGTTGGCTGCTCCTAAAGTGTTTGGTGTTTGAATGAGAGACTGAGAGCATGCATTCTAGTATTCCCACCTCTGAGCCTCAGCTGGCCCCAGGGCAGATTGCTAGCATTTCTGTCAATCTGAAAAAGGGGGTAATGGCTTCCAAGTACGAAGTTCATGAAGATATCTTATTAGGTAGTTACAAAGTTATTGTTCGGTATCCTTACGAAGTATTTTTATTAAAACAATATTTTAAAAAAAAATAATCTTTTAAAAATTGGGATTGTTGAGTGCATTTTCCTTGTAGAGAAAATAGTTTAGTGCATTACTACATTTCTGTTTTTTTTTTTTTGTTGTTGTTGTTGTTGGAAACTTTTTGCCTACTGTGAGTAGAATCATTGAATGGACCTCAAAGATCATCCAGTTCCAACCCCTTTCCAAGGGAAAGTTTGCCAACCATTAAGTTAGGCTGCCTAGGGCTGCATCCAGCCTGGCCTAAAGCACCTCCAGGAATGGGGCACCCACAGCTCTATGGGCAGCAGAGCCAGGGCCTCATAGCCCTCTGACTGAAAAATTTCCCCTGACATCTAACCTGGATCACCCCTCTTTTAGTTCAAAACCATTCAGTGATCTTATCTGTCTCAGAGCTCAATTTTTCTTTAAATTGTGGAGGATAGCCAGTGTTCCATTCTTAAAGTGTTGCTGGGTAGCATTGGAAACAGTGACTGTGTTCAGTTTATACAACTAGAAAATTTAAGAATTTCAATTAGGTTTTTTTTTGTTATTGTTTGTTGGTTTTTTTTTTTTTTTTAATCATCCAAAAATATTTAATTTTGCTGTTGTCCAGCAGAGTCTTTGAATAGCACTGTCTGCAAAGAAGTATACCTCCTCTTCACTTGGCAATATGTTCTTCCCTGGCTGTGTCCCTTAGCAGTATTAACTCAAGCCATCCTTCTTTAGCCTGTGAAAGCTAATAAGATCACTGTCTGCCATGGAATGTATTCCTAACAGACTAAAAATTTATAGGCAACCATCAAACAAGAAAATTGACTGCAAAAAAGGGAGTAGTATAAGAAAAATTACCACTTTTCCTATTCTGAAAGCTTTCTTATAAGCAGTAGCCGTACATAATAATTTTGGCACAAAACATTTGTATGGGTTTGGACAGTGAGCTGGATGCAGCTATTTGGAGCCTTTCCCAGAGTTAGCTTTGAATGAGCCAGTGATGAGCATTAAGAAGAAGCCAAGCTTTTCCACTGACTTAGATAGCATTACTTTTAAAAGGAATCTTTGTTTAATACAACTAAGTTATTTTAAAGTGCATCAAACTGACAATTTTCAGAGGCCAGAGCTGGGGTAATGTTGAGCTTTATGGTGATACAAAGGAATCTGTATTAGTAACATGCATTTTATCGGCTTTTATTTTATGTTGTTTGGACTCTTTGAGATGACACTGAGAGCTAAAACTGGAAAGAATATGAATCTGCTGTTGAGTGTTGTGAAGGCACTGAAGTCCCTTGGGGAGCAGTAGCTGAGTTTAATCTTTCCTTCAGCTGCATTTAATATGCGTGTCATTCCCTTTACGAGGATTCTTAGCCCGGTGTGGTACAGATCTGTAGTGTTCTGTCAAATTCTTTGCTGATCCTCAGTAGCTTTGGTGGTGGTGTCTTCTAACAGCTGTGAAATGAGGGTTTTAATAGTAAATCAATAATAATAAAACCAGCAAAATATAGCCATTAAATTTTTAGACCTAGAGAGTAAGGAATAAAATCTCAAAAAAGAGAGTGGCTATACCTTTGTCTTTTTGCTCTTTGTTAGTGTCATGTCTTGTCACAATAGGTATCTCAAGTCCTCACTGTCTTCTCTGGATTTCTTTTTTATTATTGTTTCTTTGTTTATGATTAGTTGGTGGCAACGATTCATAACAACATAACAATGTTTCTTGAGTTCCAGATCGTCTCTGCTTTTAAGAGCCATCTGTTAGATGATTGTCCTATCTAAATACTGTCCCAGTACCTGTGGCCTAGAACTGTCCAGAAAGATTGATTTCTGGTTAAAGTACAAGACAGAGAGTCAGAAGATCTGGTTCCCATTCTTGTTTCCCATGCAATTTTTTGGCAGGTTTCCTCATCTGTATGTTTGAAATAATAACCTCTCTCATCACGGGATTCTGAAGCTATATTAACTGACAGCAATAAAAATGTGTTGAGATGTGTAGATGAAAAGGTATATATTAATGCAGAAGCATAGAAACATAGATACAGAAGCAGTAAATTAATGCTGATTATTGTGTTGCTTTGACTGGATACGCTTGCAGAGTTCTATACAATCCAGGCTTCTAGCTGAAACATACTGGCACATGGCAAGTGCCCTCAGTGAACTGTGCTGGCAAAGTTAGGTTTGCAGTATTGTGGAATTCCAGATGACGCTTTCTCTACCGCAAATTCAACTGTAGGGTTTCTTGGTGTTTTGTTCAGAGAAAAAAAAATTTGCATGTAAAGTGACTCTTGGGAATTGTTGTTGTTGATCTGGCATACTCAGTGAAATTTGGATATGTGTTTGTTTACTTACGCATTACCAATCTGAAACAGAAACTCTTGTGGCTTAACACTGCGTGTTGAAGAGTCCAGACACACATTTTTCCAGCAAATCTAGCAGTTCTTTGGATCAAAATAAAGGACATGTTTTGAATAATTCATCTACAAATAATGCAGATAAATATTGACTCTGCTATTGATTATTAAAAGGCATGCAGTGTATTTAGGAAGCAATCAGCATTCAGTCTCCTCTTAATAATCATAATCCTTTCTCTCTTTTTTCTTATGCAAAAATTATCCATTATTTAATGTGGCCAGAAGTGTAGAGAACTGAGGTTGCATTAATGATGCCCTTCTCCTTGTTCTTGTCTACTGTGTTTGATCCTGTAGTCAGCTTCAAAATAATGTATGAAGTGACAAGGATGGTATTTTGATTGTATCCAGCTGTTTGGAACAAGTCAAGGGCAAAGAGGCCCTCCATGTAGCAGTAGATCCATCCAAGCACCCATTAAAGAACACCAGAAATATTAAAACATAAGTTGATTTTAAGCCTATTCCTATTAAAGGAAGCAGGTTGGTTAGATCCAAAGCCAGCTGTGAAAGTAGTTAGACTGCAGCCGTATCTACTGATTTTAACATCAGAAGTTCCATTTTAGTCATGCTTGGTTTTAATTAGTGTTAAAATCTTTTTGAATAATTGGTTGCATTTCTCTACAAAAAGAAAGTCATATGGCTTAGAGGTTGTTTGCTCTGAACTACAGCATCCCTGAAGTGCTGGGTCCTTCCAGAGCAAGCTCTGGGATTTTTGTACTTTTTCCAGTCATCTTCTGATTTCAAGAATTAGGACTTATGAGATTTGAAATGGTCTTTGCCCCACGGTACTGGCACCCTCCCAAAAGTAGACATTTTCATCTGGACATTCATATTTGCTGTGCAAGAAAATTTACTGCAGTGTTGTTCTTCTCTTCTTGTTCTCTTTAGGTTTGGCGTGAGTTCCCAGATAGGTTGGTTGGATATCCAGGTCGACTGCATCTTTGGGACCATGAGATGAACAAATGGAAATATGAATCTGAATGGACCAATGAAGTCTCAATGGTGCTCACTGGGGCAGCATTTTATCACAAGGTATCTGTAACATGCAGCTCGTGGTATACAACATGAACCACTCCTTAACTGTATTCTGTGTCTTGTGGTGCCATAATAGTGTTCTGCAACAAACAGAAAACCAGTTGCCATCTTTTCCTAAGACTTCTACTCTTCCTGTAGTTGTAGAAACAACTGGTTTGTTTCTGTGAAAAAAACAACTGTTACTTTCAGAAAGATACAGAAGAACTGTTGTTGGTTTGCCTGACCAGTAAGAGCATAACATATTTTGCAATGAATGTAGCTTTGTAACTAGGAGTTTAAGGAAAGAAAACACACACACAACTGCCACCCCACAATTAATTGTACAGGAATCAGTGTGCTGCTCAGGAATGGAATAATTATGAACCTAAAACATCCAAAAATGTTTCTCATCTGCTAGAGCAGTCCTTGGCTGAAGGCAGTATCACAGTTTGTCCATAATCCATTCTTAGCTGCCTGCTGTTTGAGAGACTGAAAGATTTAGTGTCTCATAGTTATTGCATCTGTATTTAAAATTATCTTCTCTCCTTTTCCATCTGTTCTGCAGTATTTCAACTATCTTTACACCTACAAAATGCCTGGAGATATCAAGAATTGGGTGGATGCCCATATGAACTGTGAAGATATTGCCATGAATTTCCTAGTGGCAAATGTCACTGGCAAATCAGTCATTAAGGTAAGACTTTTCCACAGTTTAACTCTACCAAGTTCAAAAACATGTACATATTCATGTAAATGAAGATCATGGAAGATAATGCAGAAGATCCTCCTGGAAGCTATGCTAGATAAACAGAAGAGAGGAAGGTGATATGGGATAACCAGCATAGCTGCATCAAGGGTAGGTTCTGGCCGACCAAACTTAATGCTTTTTATGATGGTGTTAACTGTGTCAGTGGACAAGAGAGGAGCCTGAACTTCAGTAAGGCCTTTGACATGGTTCTTCCTGGAATCCTTAGAGTTGAAAGAGTCCTCTAAAGGCCATCTAGTCCAACTCCTCTGCAGTGATCAGGGACACCGCAGCTAGATCAGGTTGCCCAGGGCCTTATCAGCCTCGCCTTGAAAGTCTCTGGGGATGGAGCATCAACGACATCACTAGGCAACCTGTTCCTGTGCATCACCACTCTCACTGTAAAAGATTTTTTCTCTATATCTAACTTAAATCTTTGAGATTGATTATTAAAAAAAGCAGCAGCCTTCACAGTAGAACAAAGAGGCTGAGGCTCTGAGCTCAGGCGCTCATGGAAATGAGCAGAGAAGCAGAACTCTTTTCTGTTTTTTCAACTGGTTCCTCATAAATCCTTCTCTCCATGTTAGAAAGATATGGATCTGATGGTGGACTGTTTGATGGATGAGGAACTGATTGTGAGATCATACCCAGAGAGTGGTGGTCTATGGCTCAATATCTGGATGAAGATCAGTGACAAGTGGTGTCCCTCAGGGATCAGTACTGAAACCAGTACTCTTCAACATCTTCATCAATGACATTGACAGTGGGATCAAGTGCACCTTGGATGATGCCAAACTGCGTGGTGCAACACATCTGAGGGGCAGAATGCCATTCAGTGAGACCTAGACATGCTGGAGCTATGGGTCCGAGTGAACTTCATGAGGTTCAATAAATCCAAGTGCAGAGTCTTGCACCTGGGTCGTGGCAATCCCCTCTGTCAGTACAGGCTGGGAGATGTAAGGATAGAGCATAGTTCTGCTGAAAAGGACTTGGGGGTATTGGTAGATGGTGAGTGGGACATGAGCTAGCAATGTACCCTTGCAGCCCAGAAAGCCAGTGATATCCTGGGCTACACCAAAAGAAGTGTGATGAGCGGGGTGAAGGAGGTGATACCACATTTCTGCTCTGTGCTGGTGAGACCTCACCTGGAGTACTGTGTCCAGATGGGAAGCTCTCAGTACGTACTGAGGATCTGTTAGAGCACATCCAGAAAAAATGGTCCAAGGGATAGAACACCTCCCTTCTGCATGGACAAGCTGAGAGAGCTGTCTGGAGCCTGGAGAAGAGAAGGCTCTGGGGAGACCTGATAGTGGCCTTTCAGTATCTAGAGGGGGGCTGTAAGAAGAAAGGGGACAAAATCTTTAGCAGGGCTGTTGTGGTAGGACAAGGAGAAATGGTTCCAAACTAAATGAGGGGAGATTTACATTGGACTTAAGAAAGAAGTTTTTCTACAATAAGGGTGGTGAGGCACTGGAACAGCTTGCCCAGAGAGGTGATGGAAGCTCCATTGTTGGAGATGTTCAAGGTCAGGCTGGGCAGGGCTCTGAGCACCCTAACGTACCTGTCGGTGTCCTTGTTCATTCCAGCGAAGTTGCACTAGATGACCTTTAAATATCCCTTCCAACTCAAAAGTTTCTGTGATTCTTAGTTTATTTAGGAAATTTGAGTATATTACTCAATCTTCTTCTCTCCTTTGCCTGTGGTATGGTTCCTGATTCTACTTCCATAGCAGGAAAGGCTGTTTTGAGTAAAAAATGTATGCTAACTGGAAACATAGAATTCTTTTTTACCATTTGCTTCTGGTGGTTATTTTGAACAACCAGATGAGGTATGAAGAAGGTAATTTAAATGATAGCTATATATATACATACACACCAGCCAACATGCGTGCAATTTAACTATTTGAGGTCACTGAAGGAAAAAAACAGCCAACTGTCCGCAGCTCTCTGTCCTGGCCTAGCGACAGCTGATTTATAGGAATGTTAATTGCAAGAATGTTAATTGCAAGATCAGCTTTAAATGAACTTTTTATCCCTGAATTAATTTCCTGACATGTTTCGACACGTTTTCAAGTCTGGACATTCACTCTGTACGTTCATTTCAAAGTGTGTCAACCTGGAATGAGATTTAGAGGCCACCAGGCGTTACTTCAATTAGCAGGGTCTGCTTTCCCTTCTGTCCATCATCATTTACTGGGACTGGTGGCTGCATTTCCTAGAAAAGTCTTTAGAAGATAAAGCGTGCGTTTTTGCTGAAAAAAGTTTTTGAGCTGTATGAGGGCACAGCAGAGTAATTTGGCACCTCTGTGCGATTTGGAGAGCCTCGCAGAGTTTGCCAGTCAGCTATTAACTGGAGTGAGCAAAAGAGCGTCTGTTGGATTAACGTTACGGTGAAGTATGGGAAGCTATATTTCATCGCTGTTATGGCTGCAAGAACAAATGGTGTTTATACAGGGACCTTGGCAGTGAGAAAACAGTCATTAAACAGGAATTAAGGAGCTTGTCATCGCCACTTCTTTTCAGTTACAGAAGGAAAAACCCCTCCAAGCCGTTTTTATTGGGCCCCTGTGAATTTTGCAGTCAGCCAGGCCAGATGGAGCTGAATGGGGGAATGGAGTGGTTCTTTTTTTTTCTTTTTTTTCTTTTTTTTTCTTTCTTTCTTTTTTAATTCCCCCCCCTCTCCCCCCCTCCCTTTATGAGACAGCTCAGTTTACACTGCAGGCATGTTCAGAAGTATTGCACTGCTCTCTGTGCAAGGAGATTAATGTCCCTTCTGTTGATATTTGATGGTATCTGGCATGCCTTTATGCAGGTGACCCCACGGAAGAAGTTCAAATGTCCAGAATGCACAGCAATCGATGGGTTATCACTGGACCAGACACACATGGTGGAAAGGTGAGTGACCACTCTTTCTTCCTCTGATTGCTAGAATCTTATCCAAAGTTGCATTAAATTAGGATCAAAAACACTCGCTGATTGTATTTCTGTAAAATACTATTTTTAAAGAATGTCTCCTGGATTTGATCAACATAAGTCATTCCCACAGTGGATAATGGGGCACTGAAAAGTGGAGTAATGCAAGAAAGAACCTTAGGAAGGGTACTATTTTTAGCAGATTTGCTGTAAAGTGTATTGGTTGTATATGAAATACAGGTTGTTTGCAGTGTTTTCAGTAATGTCACGTTTCTATTTTATCAGGGAATGTAATTGTATCATGGAGCAGTAATGAATATGAGGTGTTTTTTTTTTAATCCAGCCAGTTTGCTTGCTTACTGAAGAATGGTTGACTAACAAGGATATAAATTGCTAATAATGTTATTTGCATTGTTGTTTGTACATTATCTTTCTGAATTGCATTGTTTCCATTAATGAAAGGCATTTGTCTGCACAATTGCATGTGGTGTTTTCTAACAATGGCAGTAATATTATATTTTGTGAGAATTTTATTTTGAAATGAAGTATGTGTTTGCAAAGGGCAGCGAATGCTTAGTGAAATACTGTAAGTTGGATAACTGTAAGAGTTCCATTTCTCTCTTTATAGTAAAATGGCTTCCTAACCACGGCCAAGCACTAAGCTTCCCTCTACGCTGGCTACTAAATACTTGAAATAAGGAAAACATTGCTCCCTTTCACAAAGCTCTTTGAGTTGCTGTTTGAAAAGAGCTGAGGATAGATGTACATTAATTATTATTAGGTAAAATTAACCAGCAGCTGACAAAGGCTTTTCCCCTCAAGCTTCTTAGCCTGTAGCATCTCCTCCACAAGCTTTGTGGAAAAATTTCATGCAGCCATACAATTGCTGGGGGAATTGTGAGCAGATAGGCTGAGCTAGTTACGTGTGCTGATATCCAGGGACCATCCTGCTCTTTGTGGAACAAGTAGTTTATTCTACTTGTCATGGATATAGAATTGATACATATTGAAATGTGTCCAGTGAACTAATGTAAAACTGGTTAGTAGGCTGGAGGCCTATTTGTATGGAGAGTATATGCATGCATCTGTTTAATGTATAAACACGCATTGCACAGCGCACACAAGTACAAACATAGTTTGGCTGGTTAATAACCAAGCGTGGTGCCAGGCACTGAAGACTGTAACTACCACAGTTAGTGCCTAGATATTTGGACTGGATGTATAATAAGGCTAGCTTAAAAAAATGAAAAATAAAAATCTGGAAGTCAGTTGTAAAAGGTACCCGTGGAGATAGTAAACATTATTCTGCAGTGAACTCCTTTAGAAAGGATCAGGAGGCTCTTAAATGTTAGCTGAAAGAAGAACAGGAGGATGTCATTTATCTAGCTGCTCTGTGCTGGCTTGCAGAATAGACTCCCAGAACCCAGGTAAGCTTTCTTATGATCATGCTATTAGCATTACAACAGTGTGTAGGAATTTCAGTCATGAAGTAGGTTCTCATTAAGGTTAGCACTATAAAAACAGAAGATGAAAAAGCGATCTTTCCTCGGAGTGCATTATGATGCAGGGTAAAGGTCATTTTTCCATGTCTCCGGCAATTCTTGTGTTCTCAAAGTAAAGTATCTTTGACAGTTTATCCACACCATGTTTAAACTGTTGCATTGCTTCTCCACCGTAGTTTCTGACAGTAACAGTAACTGAGATGTAACTGAAATGTTACACTGACTGCAGAACCACATGTTTTATTCGTCCTTTCAAAGGTGCAAATACTGCCATGGGGTCTGGGTGCAGGAGAAAGCTGGTGGTATACGGTTTATGTATTCATGCTTCATTGTGAAAATCATAATTCCAAGAGCACACGCTACACCTAGCAGCTTTTCATCCCATATTGCTATTTTTACCTGCCTTCAACTTGTGCAAGTTATTCGAAAATTTGAAATGTTTTTTTTTTTCCTTTTTTTCTTTTGTTTTTCTTTCATCTTCTACGCTAACTCTTCGTTTAAAGTGCATAAAAATGGTAGTGATTTCTAAAGCAGATTTTCCTAATAGCTAATTTCCTGAGTAATGTTCATATGAATACGTTATTTCTGCTACTAGTTGAGAGGGTAAATGGAGAAGGTATACGTGTCAGGGAATACTTGTCATATTATGAAACAATAACTTGGTACATTACAATGTTGGATACCCAGAAAAATGCCTGGGGCATCAGGCAAAGAGCAGTTATCAGCTTCACTTGCAGCTTCTCCAAATGCCTGGCTCTTGTTTATTATCATTCGCAGATTGTGAGTAGCCTGAGCTAGTTTCTTGCCCAGATATCCAGGGATCATCCTGCTGTTTGCGAAACAAATGGGTTTTTGTTTCTGAAATAGCAAGAGATGCACAGCAACTGCCTGGTGATTGTTTTGTAAGTGAAGAAAGGGCTGAGATTTTAGTTGTGGAGATCTGTCCAGGAAGGTCGGTTCTGTTGAGTGCTTTGTCGCTCCCAGCAGAGACAAAGGAAAGATGACAACAGACGAACTTTCTCTTTTTTTAATTTTTTTCTTTCCACTAATACAGATGGCTGTTAACAGTGAATAACTGGAAAGGCAACACAGCTATTCTTCCTGCTACGTAATTTCTCTGCAATAAATAAAAGACTTCAGACCACAGGGTTATTGAGCTCCATCATTAAAATACTTTAGCTCAAGAAAGCTTTGAACAACAAGTCACCTGCTTGCCCTAGGTTGGCCTCTACATCAGATCGAAGAAGAAGCTTTAGAAAGATCTTTTAATCCCTGTACGTACAGGTGCTGTTTAAATAGCAACAAGTTTTCTGCATTTAGCATTTTTGCACCTGGTTTTCAAAAAAAATTAAGAACTTTATAAAATGCAGCTTGGATGATGACTGTAAATGTAGCAAAGAGTTGAGCTGCTTCTGCAGCAAAGATGACTGTGGTGTTCTATTTATTGAAGTCAAAATAGTACAACGTTCCCTCAAGAGGCAAACTGAGAAGATAGTAGACCCAAAGAGTGTGGCTGTGGAGTTACCCTCACCAAAAATGTTTGAGTTGCAAAGTTGAGGAAGCTGGGAGACCTTAACAGGTACGAAGTTGATCCAGTCTGACAGGGACAACAGAGCTCCTAGTTTCTTGGTTCACACTAACTGAATTCCTTGTTGAGTGCAACTGCACCTTGTCAGCAGAGCAAGGGAAAAATGAATAATTGTGGGAAGAAAAGATGCCTCTGTTAGTGTGAATTTGCAGAGCTAACAACACAGCCAAGAAAAACACCTACACTCCATATAAGACAACATGTTATGTTTTTTTGGCTTCCTGTTTCTGAATGTTTAATGTGCTAGATGTCCTTTCTGTTTTATATTATCTGAAAGTGGCAAATACTTGAGCATTCAAGTGGTTTAGTTCAGTGAAGGAGATGAATTTTTCTTGAAAGAGGCAACTTTCCTTCAAACACATGTTGTGGTTTGCGTGCGACGTTTCTTCCACCCAAAAAACTGCCTCTGCTATTTGAGTTTGATGTTTCTTGAGGACTAACTTTTCTGATTAGAATGTAGTTATTTTGCCATTTTTTCATTTTAACATTTCTTTAACAACCAAGTGTTGATTTCTCATTGGTGAAAGATGTTGTACTGGTATGCCTGGTCTTACCATGAAATGATTTTGGCTGTAGAGGGTGTCCATCTTAGTATTTCTCCAAGACCTCAAATTCAATTTAGTTTTGTGACCTCTGGGAGAAGAGAACAGTTGGATCTCCACTGTCTAATTGGTTTTATGTTCTGCTCGGAGGATGCTGCTTAGTTCCGCCTGTGACAATGTTGGCTGTGACATGGACACCTGCCAACCTGGCAGCAGGCTGAGATAACTAATTCATTTCACACAGGCCACCAAGCAGCTGTTACATTACAATGTCTTTCAGTCATTCTTGGCAGAGGCAGATTTGAACCAGTGGAGTAGAAGTAAAAGGCCTTGTATTCCAGAAACCAGTGAGGCACAGCAGCTGTGCAGGCTTCTCATATGCACATCTACCTCCTAGCCTGTGAAGTCTGGGCTTTCCTGTTATGAAACATCTCTGACTGCAGTTTGCCACTGCATGGTTTCCTCTTCCTCTCTGAGCTCCTTTTTGGTTATTTCTTAGCAAAAGGATTTCAACCCAGAGGTAGAGTAGGAAGAAGTGTGAGGACACGAGAAGATAGCAGAAAGGGAAATATCTGTATTTGTTTGTAGTAAGTGTTTTATTCATGTGTCGCCCATTATGTCGTTTTCTGACTCTCCTCAGGCCAGGGAGGAGATTAAAAATAGCTGTGTGGAGATGTAGCTCTTCAACAACTTGAACTCTGTGTTTTTCAGTCATTTGCTCTAGCTAAGGAGAGAGCCATGGAATGGCTGAGAGGCAGAGGAATTAGTTTTGAAAAGCATTTTTGCTGTCCCAATCTACTTCAAAAGAGTGTTTGGATCAGTGTTGAGCAGTCTCCATCACAAAACTGTCACACTCAGTTGGTGTGATTGACTGGGTCTGCTCAAGAAAGTGATCTCGGAGCCATCGTGACCCCCTAACCCTCCGAAGGGGTCGGGAAGGGAAAGCAGTGATTCCAGAGAGAGAGGCCTGCTCCAGGATGCCTGCAGCACAGCAGCCTCTCCAGCTGAATCAGAGCACTCCTCTCTCTTCGTTTCGGAATGGCAGCAGAAATGTTGTTGTAGTATTACATCTTGGGGACTGTCATCATGGTTCTCAGTGTCTGAATTTTTTAAGAGCTTCATTATGAAGTAGGCAGGTGATGTTAGCTGAGTGCCGACTGAGGTGAGATTAGCCACATTTTCCTTGCCTTGCTGCCACAGGTAGCGCGTCTTTCAGTGAAAGAGCTAAAGGAGCACTGTAAGGTTAAACATCTGTTTGCTTGGCTTTTGGAACACATGGCTGCTCCCTTTCACAGCATTACTGACACCTAAAATTGTTAAAACTGGAAGTATTGTCAGTGATCTGATCTCCTTTGTGCTAATGTGGTGCCTCACTGCTCAATGTCATTATTTAGACAAGGAAAATAAGCTAGTTGATTTTGTTTTAGTTTTTATTCAGCTTTACCTTTGAGTTGCAGTATAATCAATGCTACATATAGAATACAGCATGCTTATTTTTCTGGGAAGCTTCTGAAGAAGTCTGAAAAAAATGAGATTTTTTTGTAGAAATTCATTTTCAGGGAGACTTGTTTTTTTTGCAAAACTCTCGTTAGGAGCCAAACCAACCCAATAGTGGCCCTTTAAGAGACATGTTGGCAGTTAATCTGTTCTGGTTTACAGCATGTACATTGCTTGAAGAATGACTGGAATTCTAGGGGGAGGGAAAGGGGAAGCTTTGACCTCCATGTGCACATGTGCTGCTGCCGGCATCCCCTTGCTCTTCTCTGTGATTAAATGGATAAATCAAAAAACACCAACTTCTCTTCGGTTCTCTCTGTGATGAGAGAACTGATAGCCAACATGGCTAAAATACTTCGAAACACATGAGGGAAGGTTACCGAGTTATTTTTCTACAAGTTATGTTGGTGTGGGAGCTGGTAACCAGCCTGGTTGTTGCGGTTCTTAATCACACTGCTTTCCCTTTTACCAGATCTGAATGCATCAATAAGTTTGCCTCTGTCTTTGGGACCATGCCTCTGAAAGTGGTGGAGCACCGTGCTGATCCTGTTCTGTATAAAGATGACTTTCCTGAGAAACTGAAGAGCTTTCCCAATATTGGCAGCTTGTAAAGGCAGCTGTGAGACAAACCTGAGCACTGAAAACACCAGCAGAAGAGGTACTAAGAAGAATGTAAGGCTCTGAAAGAAAGAAAAGGAAAAAAAAAAAGCTAGAGAGTGGGTTACATCTGAGGGAGATGGCAATTAATGTATTCTGGTGCACTGTCCTCCTTTTATATTGCACTAAATGTAGTGGAAAGCTGGACAACTCCTTCTCTGTTGCTTGTAGAGGATTGAATCTATTGACAAGTCCTATCAGAACTGTCAAACAAACAGCAAAGGAGGCTGTGCACCTGGGAGAATAAAACTGAGTTTCTCTCTGTGGTGTGACTGTCTTCTTCAATTCAATGTGCTATGGCCCTCTGGTTTGTAAGCATCCATCCATCTGAAGCAACTGTCTCTGCATGTGTGGTGCTTTTTTGGGAGAGCCTATTTTCTGGGTGGTTGGTGGACTTCTGCTTAATTTTGGTCTTACGTACCTACGTAACAAACATTTTTTTCTGGTTAGTGGGACAAATGTTTATTTTTTTTACAATGTCAACAACAAAAATCAGTATTTTGCTACGTGGTTTAAAAAAGCATTTTCTTTTTTATGCAAATTGAGGCACACAGCAGGATGGTCGTTAATGCAGAGAGCTGCAGGATACAACTCCACTTGCTGTAGCCTTCCTTTCTGCATAAATCTCAGGTTTTCTGCTGCATCAATGCAAGAGACTGGGAGTCTATGTCAAAACTAGTTGTATTGTACAGAAAGAAACGTGTCTTTCTCTATGTTTGTTTTTCATTATTCAGCAGAGCAGCCAGGTAACAATTTTACATCACGGTCGTATGTTGCAACAGCAGCTATAAAGTAAAGGTTTAATGTTTGGATTCTCTTCAGCAAACAGTCTGTTTTAATACTGATTTGTAAACCACTTCAATTTTCAGAAGTTCTCACAGCTTTAATGTGCAGGGTTATGTGCATGTGTAAGGTACTATTAATGCACACTGTAACCTGCTGGAAAAAAATTGCTGGATCTTAGTTTGTAATTTAACTAAGGAACCCATTGCTGCAGGCTGCCATTGAAACATAGAGCTTTGGAGATCCCTTACCTTTCTTGCAAGCCTTGGCAATATTTCTCAACACTGAAATTAACTTGAATTAGAAAACTAAATTCAGTAAAATTAGAAATAAAATTGCCTGGACTATTGCCTCTTGTCCTTTGATATTAAAGATAATCTCAAGTTGGGCTGAGAAAAGAATCTCTTTTCCAACTCCACAGATAAAATGTCTGTTAGCAGATAAGGGTGATTTAACTGTTTTTTCGGAATGTCCACTGCTGCCAGTTACAGGGTTAGCCTACTCTTTGGGCCATTTTTCCATTCCACTGTGAACAACCTTATTTCTCAGATTTTGCCAAACCTCAAACAATAGGACAAGTGTTAGGCATCACAGTTCACCCCCTCTCCTAAGCTGGGTAGGCAGCAATGACAGAAACCAAATGAAAGTCAGGCAAGAAACAGGAAACATCTGCTCCTATTTGTCTCACCCCCACTAAGACTTATCTTATTGCCCAACGCAGTGGATATGCTGTGAATGAAAATCATATTGGAACAATAGCTCTGAGGGGATGCTTCACTTCATAACTCTGCTGGGACGTGCCTGTAAACTGCATCGTCCAAATCTCTGGGAACGTTTAATTACTAGTAAATGTTTTTCACTGTAGTCTTTGTTTCATTCCTGACTTGCTGTGAGAGGGATGTTAGGGAGTTAAGAGGATAGCTTTAGCAGTGACAACATCTGCTGCTGCACAGTGGGTATCACAAGATATAGGAATGTCTGTTGTTCTCTATTTCTTCTTTGCAGTCTTGTGTGTTCTGAAGTTTCTTTCTGCATCTTTCTGTCTGTTTATGTCGTGGTGCTTGAGCATCGAGAGATAACAGCATATTTCCTCTGAGAAATTTTCTTCAAAAGGGTGGCTGTGACAGTGTAGTGGTCACTTGAATTTTAGTCTTTCTTTTGGGGCTTGGATCTCAGCTTAGCAGTGTAACTGCATATTGTACAGAGTTGTGAAGCTGTGATTTTTTGGTTTTTCTTAAGGAATGCCAGTATTACACATTTTGCTCAAAGTGTGAAAAGACATGGAGGATTTCAGCTGGTTGGTCAAATATTTTTGGGTGGGGACAACTTAACCAACCCTTCTAAACTGGTCTATGGTCTCAGGTCAGTTAAAAGGCAGCAGGTATTTGTGTCTGCATCGCAGAGTGTCAGAGTGGATTCTCTGTCCTCGAAATGCCCAGTAACTCTATCTCACTTAAATGGTAGTTTTTCTCTGCTGATGCCATGGAGAAAATCAGGCAATTGACTGAAGACAAAAAAAAGGTGTAAAATTGCCTGCTTCCTCATTTCACTTATAATTGTTTTATTGTTCTTGATGCTAAACCTATAAAGGTAAGATGTACCTACATAACTGGAATGGTTTTATTGCTAGTCATTAAATTAAGGTCACTGTTAACTTTTCATTGTATATATTTTATCAAAAGAGTTTAATATTGATATATTAAAAGGTAAATCCAAGGAGCATTTGTTGTATTTCACTTTCAGAGCTGCACTGGTATATATAAGGAAGTATGAATGCATTTACAATGGAGAATTGCAGTGCTGAGCTAATTTGCTACACAAGTCTATGTTGAACTTGAATTTCCACCATGTATGTCATCAAGACCTGTTGGTATTTTGTCTTGCCCATAAGCAGAATAGATGGTTCTTTGAAGCAGAAGTTTGCTCTGCATGAATATATCCCTGTCACCTTCTTTGAACAAATCATTGTTACTCTTATTTTCTGCCAAGATTTGACAGTAGCATTTATCTTAAAGAAATAGGGAACAGACCCTTTCTCTTTTTGTGAAGAGAGACAGCAAAATTCGAAGAGCTGTGATTTCGGTAATAGAGCTTTGACTGAATCATCATAATGGTGGAATCCACTGGTGTGGTAGCAGCACTTTGTTCCATCACATTCTGTACTGAGCATAGTGCAAAATGGCCTATGAATGAAACACCCCTCCTACCTGTGCGTAGAGGGGGGTATGATGGACAACCCCTTGTGCCCTCCTAGTCATAGTAAGTCTTAAGAGTATATGTGTAGCATCACCAGCTCTCCCTGTGCTGTATTGACTCTTTCCTTCCTCACAGCCCCACTGACTCGTTGCAGGACGTGCCAATTCAAGCCCTAACATGCATTGTTCTCTTTTGCCATCTCCTGCTCTTGGATGTCCTGCTGCCTATCTTGTTTCTGGTGGTGCAGTTCAAACACTAGTTGCCTTACTGCAGCAACTAGTTCTTCCCTGTATTGGAAGCTCCATAATGAGTGTCTTGTAACTTGCATACTTACAACAGGTAGAACATGTTTTGATCAGGAAGAATCTCAGAATGGTTAATTAGTACCGCATAAGTCTCCTGTTCAGCCCTTTCACATGGAAGCTACTGTTGTAACAAGACTACAGCACAAGAAAGAAAAACAAATTGACAGTACCAATGAGAGGAAGGATTTTAAATGCCTTAGCCAGTGATAAGGCTGAGTGAGTATGAATTTCTTCACAATTCTTAATGATTCACATGTTAAAATTTTGCTGGAGCTACTGCAAAGCACGCTAATTTGTCTGTAAACAAATTTAGCTCCATCTGTGCTGTACAGGTAGTTCTTGCTGTCATAGAGTCTCTTCCATGTACTCAGAGCAAGGAAAAAGAAAGTTCTGCAAAGCCATTATAGAAGAAATGTGTGCTGGAAACTGAGATGGTCCAATTGCTAACTGCCTTTGGAAAGTTGAGAAGAGCAGAGTAAATACTAGACAGTATTCCACCTATATTGACTTCTTTTTTTAACTATTAGGCTCAGAAAATGTGTTTCTGACCTTGTGTCTTTCTGTAGCACCTGAAAGTTATCCTGTGAGCACGTGGTCACTTCAACCCTCTTGCAAACCTTGGTATACATGGAGACGTGCATTTGCTTAGCAGAAATAGAAACCTTCTGGTTTACTGATGAGTTGAAAGTGTTTTGGTTGTATCTCATGCTGTTGTGAGCATACAAATACACGGTGTAAGTAAAGCTGTTTCTGCGATGCACATCACTGCTGTATGAGCAGAACGACAAGTGGAGCATTGCGCTCCTCCTGCTTGAATAAGACCAGTATCTTAGTATTGTAGATAAGCAAAATGGAGAGAAGCTGTTGTGTACCCATGGCCTTAGGAGGTTGTGTGGGTAAAAACAGAGTTGAACACCAGTATCCTAAGCCTCTGTTTTAGCAAATTTGCTAGTGTCTGGGATGTTTGTTTAGAGTTTTGAGTAGCTCAATACCAAGGTAGAGGACCGCTAGCCTTGACTTAGAGTGTCAGCATGCTTCAGCCTGTTCTGGCTTAAAGCCATTTAGAGACATTCCTGCTGCACTCTGTGTAATTTCAGCCTGATGGAAAAGGCTGTAATGCAGTCCCACCTCTGCTGATCTTCAGGATTCCCCTGTCTGCAGCTTCTCATGATTGCTTTGAACGTGAGTTATGTTTCCCATTAAAGGATAACAGTGACAATTGATGCAATTAAGTGGAGTGGCGTGGAGCTAGCAGAACACAGGGAGTTTTCCGACTGAAAACAGACAGCACAGCTCAAAGTTATTCCCTGCAAAGTTGCCTATTTGCTGTTTTCATTTGTCTGGAAAAGGATCCAGTAATTCCACTTCAAATTTCTCTTACTTGTTCCACTTGCCTGTTTTCTTGCCTAAATAGGAAGTGTTCCTGTTCAGTGTAGAATAACAGCTCTACAATAACTGTAGTCTAAGATCAATGCAACTTGGTCATGGTTTCATTAAGTCTATAATCTTGAATCAGTGCTCAGTACTAGGCTGTGTGAACAGGAAAGACAGCAGGTAAGATGGGCAGGTGGGAATAAAGTATCTGTAAAGAGAAATAATTGGTGTTGTGACTATTTCTGCAGAATTATAAGAAAATACTAGAAGAATTATGATATCATCTGTTGGATTTGTAGCCTAAATATCAGTTGGTTGGAGGGTTGGAAAAAGATGAAAGCTGGATCATTTGACAGGCAGATGTGAAATGCTTAGAATATACAGAACCATGTAAGTTTTTTTCTGGTGTGTGATTGAGGTTTGTTGCTGTTAATATTGCTTTTAAGGATGAATCTTAGCTCTTTTACCCCCGCCCCTATTCTGTGCAGCAGTGAGAACCTGGAAAGTTAATGACAAAGCTTGGACCGATGGTAAAGTGCTGCTCATGGATATTCACCTGCCCAGGATGAACATCTCACTTTCCATCGCTCATCTGGGCGATGAGTCCCTTAGAAAGATGATAGTCTAGAGAAATGCTGCTTCTTGCCTGATGGTCTGGCCATCTGAAAAGTCACTGGCCTTTCTTTGTGACACCTTTCTTCAGAAGAGAGGGCCAGGTCTCAGCTGCATGCTATAGATAGTTCTGGGTGCCTACAGCTGAGGGCTGGTGGGGAGCAATACCCCATTTGCCACATTTCATACAAAGACAGACAGGGGAAAAGGTTGGAAGCAGAAAGGACCATGAAATGAGATCCAGGAATTCAGCGAGGCTGCAGCAGAAGGAGCTCATTGCTAACTCAGAGCATGTGTCTTTGCCCTGTGAGTAAGTTACGAACTGACAAGCAGGCGAAAGTGGAAGATCCTTTCACAAATAATAAACACTTGTTTGCCTCAGATTAAATGCAACACCTTTACATGTGGGCTCCATCTGGCCATAAATAGGTGCACCTTGCACGGCTGTTACCTTTCATGCCGGAGAAGATTATTGTACATACATCTGCTTAAAGGTTAATAACCCGCTTTTAAAAAAAGGAAGAAAAAAATGGCAAATCTGTTTAGTTTACAGGAAGAAAGAATTGTTTTTCATTAAAACTGCCTGAACTTTGCCCTGCCTCAAAGTCATATTCTTCAGCAGGTAAGGAACGTGTTAACCTGGGTGCTGTAGCCACATCTCCCAGCAAGAAATGTTGCCGTGTGTTATAAGCAACTTCTGTAAAGCCAGTGGGAAAATGTAGCTGCAGCAAAAGGTGGTGGGCTTCTCATCTGTAGAGTTAATGAGGTGACTTTTTAGTTCTTTGGCAGCATTCAGGCCAGGAGCGATTTCTCATGTAAACCCATACAAGCAGAATGTTACTGAAACTGGCTTTATTCTCTCAATAGTCAGAGCTTTGCCAACATCTGGAGAATCTGTCTTTGAGTGCTTGGGGAGGGAAGGAATTTTTCTTCTGCAAGTGAGAGGAATGGATAAGCTTGCAACAGCACCTGCGTTATCCGTTTCTCTGTGAGATGGAAAACAGTCCCGTTCCAGCTGAACCGAGCTGGAGCTCCCCGCCAGCTGATGGAAAGCTCAGCTATTCTCAGTGGGTTGCTGGTGTTTGCTGGGTGCCTCCTCAGCTCTGCCTGCGCAGGGGGCACATTCTGGTACACAGCTGGATGCGGGGGCCTGAGCTTTTACCCAATCTGCTTCTGCCAGTGCTGTGGAGTTTTCCCCACCTGAGGATGAGGTGTGGGCCATAGGAATGGGTGTGTGCGGAGAACCTCGGGCTGAGGGAGAGGCCAAGCCCGGGGGTTCAACCTGCCTACAGCCCAGCAAGTCCCCATGTGGGCTGGTGTGGACGTGGGGAGGCTGTTGGGATGCTGCCGCACCAGGCTACGGGCTGGCGGCCATCTCTTTGTAGGGCAGGGGCAGCGGGCCCGTGAGCTGCCACCTGTTGTTAATCTACCCCCGGCTAATCCATTCTGCACTGTGTCAGCAGTTCAAAAGGGCACTGTTAGTATTTTTTGCCAACTTCAATTAACGTGAGATTTTGGAGGCCCCTCTGATCGCGTTTCATCTGTCATGAGTCAGGAACAAAACAGACAGATTCCAGTTGAGAGGAGAGAAGAGAAGGAGTTTATTGCAAACCAAAACAACAACAACAGTGCTTGTACCTCCGCGGCCACGGGGGCTCGGGAGCGGGGGCCTTCCCAGCAATTGCACCCCTTTAAAAAATCTGGAAAAATAAAAATTAGTGCCCAGAAATCATAGCCCTTCCCTCCCCCCAAACAAACAAACAAACAAAATAAAATGGAAGCTGCAAGTGCAATAACTTACTTTGAAAAAAAACATGGAAAGGACCAAGCTGCAAGTCTGTTTGTTCTTTTTTTAATGTTCCACTGTAATGAACTGCTAATACACGGCTGCATAGGCATTAACATTGCATGGCACAAACCTCACATGGCAATGTTTTTAATGATTTTTTTTTTATTCTTTTTTTTTTCCTGAACTTTTAAAAACTTTTAAATTTTGTTTTAATACGTTCTACCCCAGGCCTTTAAGCTAAAGGAAAAAAAAAAAAAAAAAAAGTTTGTGTTTATACAAGGTTACAATATCTTACAACAAAAACAATAATATTGATTGAGGTTTGTTTTCTTTCTTTCTCCCAGTCTCTCTTTCAAACACTGCACACCTAAACCGATATATTATTACACATTGAAAACTGTCCTTCAAAAAATCAGTAGTACAAAAGTCCTAGCTCTACCTACCTAGCTAGCAATGTGGGGAGTGGGGCACCAGCAAAGAGCTAGCGGGTTGCCAGGCTGCACCAGGCTGCCTCCTCCTCCGGCCCAACAAGGGCTGGGGATGACTTTCAGCCCAATTCCTCCCCCTGTTCCCATTTGGGTTTAATTTCTAATTCGGTCTGTTTGCTTTCTGTTGTGTCAGTCAGAGCAGCAAAATAAACACAGATCTCTGTGTCTGCCTGATTGTTTTTTAAATCCTTTTCCAGGAAACTACCTTTTTGGCTTTGTTTGTTTGGAGAACGTTTTACAAGGCGCTGCTCTGCTCTGTGAGATGGAACCCGGCCTCCCCACCCCCACAAAGCCCCTGCTGCCAAAGTGCCCCCCGCATCCCTCTCCCCAGGGGAGTGCTGCAGGGGGTGCCACGCACGTGTGCAGCAGCTCTGCCTCCTCACGCACAGCGGTGTCCGTGCGGGTGGCTTTACTGAAGTGCCCCTGCCCGTATCCCAGGGCCAGATGTGCTCCAGCACACACAGCAGGAGATGCTCAGAGGAGTCAAAGGGCTGAGGGGACAGCAACTGGGGGAGCTGTGGGATGTTCACCACTGGTTTGCAGCTGCTGCCAATACATGCACAACTGCTCTGAGCACTTGGCAGCCTGCATCACGCATCTACCGATCAGCCCCTGTTGGAAACTGTGCTGCTCTCCCTGCTTGCCTTTCTTAGCCCCAAAATCTGGGGTGTCTCATGTGTTTCTAGCCCTGGGCAATGTAAGCCAGCCTCCTTTGCTCCCTCTGCAAGGCTGGAAAGGGCAGCTTGAGAGCAGGGGAGCTCAGGGAGCTGAGGCTGCAGTGCTGCACCATGCAGGATACAGCATGGCTGGGGAGGAGGGGTGCAAAACTTGCAGCTTCACAGGTATCTAAATCCCAGCCAGGGAACTGCAATTCTGTGTATGGACAGGAGTGAAATACTAAAGAAGAAATAAATAGAGAAGAAAGTCATAAATAGAGTTGAAAGGTATTAAAATAATAATTATTATTATTTAAAAAGGCATCCTTGTGGTAGCTTGAAATTGCGAGAACAGCACTGACCCTGTGACCCTTAAAAATGCATTGGCTGCAGTTTGGCTAGATTAAAATATATATATTTATACACACATATATTTAAGTGTGTGTATATATATATTTGTACAGGTTTTCTTATTAATTTAACAGCTAGTTTAAAAAAACTATTAAATTAATTTTAAAATATGTGTAACTACAGATGCACACAGCTGGAGACCTGCCTGTGTCGCTGCATGTCCAGGCTGTTGCTGGCAGGACGATGCAGTAGAATGGCAGATGCAGAGGGGCTATGCTGGTGAATGGCAGCAGAGTGGGGCACGGGAGCAGAGCTCTGCACTTACAGTGCACCCAGCAGCTCAGGGCTGGACATGCGTGGCAGTGATTAGGGTTGTCTGAGGCCAATTCACGAGGAGGAAAGGAAGCAGCTCTTCGTCTCATGAGCCGTTATGCAGCCTGGATGAAATCCTGGCCCTGTGAGGCAGGAATGCCCTTCAGCTTCAGTAGAGCATAGCAAAGCCCCAGCACGGCCCATTGCCACACAGTGGGACAGCCAGCAGTACCCACGCCCTTGCAGCATCCATCCCCATGCACCCTCTCAAACTGCTGCACCCTGCTCAGTTCTGGGGGCTGAGCACTGCAGCGGAATGACGCCTTTCCCTCTGCACTGTGGGAAAAGGGCTCTGGGCGAGGAAGTCTGGGGTAGGGTACAAGGTGGTATTCATTGCAGTTTAAACATTATTGCCAGTGCATGCAGAAAAGAGATATTAGGGCAGTGATCCAGAGCCATTCAGTAATCAGCACCTGAAGCACATTTTAGTCTAATAACTCAGCTGAACATTCAGGCTGGGACGCGAGTCTGGTTTGCTTCTGTGGAAAAGCCCAGGTCATCTGCATAATCTGCTTGACTGCAAATTGTTCCTGAGGAGCACCAAGCCAGGCATCTCAGTGTGTTTTCTGAGACAAGATACAGCACTACAGGTCTTTCCATATTGCAATAAGTACGTGTTACATTTGATCTAGCATTGATATAATCATCTATGTTGTGTATGGTAATGCCTAGGCACTGTAGAAATATTTCTATATGGCATGCAGTTAACCTGCATCATGGCATTTGGTTGTAGCCTTTTTGCAACCCTTTGCTGCAAATCTCTCTGGACCTAGAGTGGATGGAGCATGATGCGATGGCTGTATGGGGCAAAACCCTGTACTTCTCTTGCTCACTGAGCTGGAGCTCAGCATGTGAGCTGAGTTCTATGGCTGGTGGTGACCTTCGGTGGGGCAGAAGGAAACTCTGAAATTATTCTTGGTGCTATGACGCCACTGAATGGCTTGAGAGAGCTTTGGCCTTGGAGAGGAGACTGTACTAAACAGAGTTGTGCAAGTGGGAGCACATGGGGAGAAAACCATTGGTGGGACTTTAGGAGAGAGAACAAGTTCTGGTGTTTCCTTCACTCTGCTAGGTGAGGGTGAACTGGAGTGGCCAGAGATGGGGCAGTGCCACTACCCTTCATCCCCAGCCCTCCCCTGCCCTGGAGGAGGTGTAGGCAGATGCTGGCAGGTGGCTTTGGGGAAGCAGAGAATGAGAGGCGATGGGAAGAGACTTTGCTACATGAGGCAGGCTAGGGACAATGTGAGGATGCCCTCACACAGCCCTGGCTGAGTGCTCTGCTCAAGCTGTTCCTCTTTGGGGGCCCTGTTGGACTTGAGAGCAGAGGGTAGTGACTCCTAGCCCTGTAAAAGCCAGGGAAGACATTTTGCTAAGACACAACAGCCACAACTATAACAGAGCAAACTCTAAGTGCTCATGGGGATGTGACTTCTGCAAGGTGCCATCACTTCATATGCACATCTCAAGCTGGATGGCTGGGGAGCCATCAAAGACAGCAGAGTGGTGGCACTGTGCCTACACAAGAGGCCCCTAAGCTTCGTACTTCAGCTCCTGCTGGGTGGAAGGAAGTGGGATAGCACTGCCACCTTTCTGGCCTTGAGTATCCCCTCACCCCATTCAGCCATGGCTCCCATGAGGCAGGAGCAGTCTGAAGAGCGTCTCTTTGCTGGTGCCAGAGTCCCCATCTTGTCCCCTGTGCAAGGCAGATGGGTTCTGAGGAGGGAAGAGCTGTACATGTGGAGGGACGGGGCAGCTGCTGGAGATGCTGGTGGGCTCTTGCTCTCCAGAAAGGCAGATCTGGTGTCAGAAAAAGGAGCAGGGAGAAAAGGCATCCAAGTCCCCGGGGAGGCAGTGGCGATAGCAGAGGACACCCCCAGAGCAGGGGACAGCAGCGCTGCCCCACAGCCCTGACCCAGTGCCGGGAGGCTGGGACCTCCCATGTCCGTGCTGGGCACACGCCACTTACGTTCGCACACGTCCTCTATACACCTAGGGTAGCTCAAAGTGCTGCGTTCACATCCCCGAGGAGGCAAGGGCTGGCTGGAATCCCAGCTGGAGGTCTCCCAGCTTCCCCACTGGCTCTCGCGGTGTGCCGAGGCGCTGGATGGCAGCCCTGTCATGTCGCCCAGGAGATCGCGGCGCTGTGCTCCTTCGCCTTCATCCGCAGGGCCGCGATGCTGGAGCTCTTGCGGTCCGGCTCGCTGTTCAGCTCATAGCCATTGAGGCCGGGGCCGATGCCGGCTGTGCCAAAGAGGCCACCCACGTGAGTCTGGCCCACGTGGCCGCCGGCACTGGAGACACCGAGGAAGTCGGAGACACCGCCAGCTGCGTGGGGATGCGCGTGGGGGGACATGCAGGAGGGCACCGGCTCACAGGGGACGACGCAAGCGGGCACAGGGGAGGCGGCTCCGTTGTTTCCAATCCAGGAGGGGTTCTGGATCTGTGGGGAAAAAGATGCATCAGGGCGTGGGGAAGGACAACACCTTGGACCTTATGGGATGTTTGGAAAACACAGTGCACAGTGGATCTGAAGCCCAACAGGGCTTGGTGGCTGCTGTGGTAGCTGTGATCCAATGGGGCTCAAAGGAGCACTACAGGGCGCCCACCTGAACAGCTGTTGTGCCTTTGCTGCTCAATGGCACAACCCCATGCTCCTGCATCCCAACCTGAGGGCAGGGGATGAACCCCAGTAGCAAAGCATGGCTTCGGGGGCTCCAGGAGCAAGGCAGTGATGAACAGACAGACAGATGGATTTGGGCAGGAGATGTGCTTACCTGGGCATAGTTCTCAGCACGGGTGAGTAGAGGCAGCTCATAGGCAGTGGAGAAGTGGGTCCGGACCTGCTGCATCTGGCCAAACCGCTCCCGCTTGCGCCATTTGGCTCGTCGGTTCTGGAACCAGACCTGTGGGGAGATAGGGGTGTGGGGTTGTTGAGCACAGGGCATGGGAGCCCATGGGGCCAGGAGCCTTGAGCAGCCTGGTCTAGAGGAGGAGCCCAGCCTTGGCCTCTGCCCTGCAGCCAGCTCTGCCCTGGGGTGACCCAGCTCCCCCATGCTCAGACAAGGAGCAAACACATCTGTGTGTGCTTGTGCCAGGCTGGGACCTGCGGCACTGGGGCTTTCCCCAGGTTCAGTCCTGGCTGTGAAGATGCTGTTGGCTGAGAACTCCTATTTACTACTGAACTCTCAGTCTTCATTAACTGTTAAAAAAAATGAAGGAAAAAAAAAAAAAAAGGTTTTCAGTGCTCCTTTCTGTCTTAGCTTCTGGAAACAAGTGCACTTCTATGAGTTGCATGTCCTCTGATTTGCAGGTCTTGTAGCTCGTCACAGCACTGCTCAGATGCCTTTGAGGCAGTGGAAAGACCAAAACTCTGTTTCTGCTCTTATTTTTACTGGCTTGACATCAGTGTGGATTATTGCACTGTTGTCAGCAGCATTGCTCCTGATTTGCATCAGCATAAGAAAGATCAGAGCCTGGCCCAGTGTCTTCAAAGCCTCTTGAAGCCTGTGAGTCAGGGAAACACATCAATCACGAGCTGCTTTGAAGGCACCGAGCGATGCATGCGATCACCAGGGGCTGGGGTGTGCAGGTCACGCCAGCACATGAAGGAAGCTTCTTGCTTCTGCTTCAAGTTTTGCACGGTGACTGGAGCTGGGGGGCTGGCATCTCACTTCAGTGATAGCACAGAGGAGCCCCTCTGGGCTGCTCCTGTGCTCAGTGAGCCAGGCAATGAGCACGGTGCAGCTTTCAGACTAGAACAGCATTTGCAGTGTCAGCTCAGCTAGAAACTAGTCTAGGAAGAAACCAGCACAAGGATTTGTGCTTTCTGAGGATGTCCTATGAGTGCAATTTCCACCCCGCAAGGATTTCCAGAGGGTGCAGTTCAGCAGAACAGTCCTAATATCACACCAGCTGAGAGCGCTGCACATGAAGAGCATCCTGCAGGAGCACACTGGTGCCCCAGGCATCCATCCGTCTGCTTTTCCTCTGCCTCATCTTGGCACGGCCACCCCAGCCCAGCTGCGAGCCAGTCCCAGGGCTGGCTGGGATCGTTCCGCTTTGATCTGTAGGCTCACAGCCAGCAGTGCTGACCTGGCTCTTCCCAGGGCGGCGGGGCCCTGCTGTGCACAGCGGGTGCCTGCAGGTAGGCAGCGTGGCGTGGGCTGCGCACGGTGCTGGGGCTGACATATGCCCAGCACATGTGGCTGGATCCCTCCTGGCAGGCACACTCACCTGCACTGCCCTGCTAGGGACTGACCCCAGCAGGGGCCAGCAATGGCCAGGCAAAGTGTTTTAAACCAGGCTCAAAGTGCAAGCTGGGAGGCTGGGGCAAAATATCTGCGCGACCCCGTGAGGCTGAAGGGCACCTGCAGGCAAGGTGCTGGGGGCTCAGGGCATGGAGATGCTCCCTGCCCTCTGTGCCCCACTGCTTCTTGCAATCAACTGCTCCAAACAGTTGTTCCACTTTTAAAAGCCATCATTTTTCCTTGAGAATAAATGATTTTCAGGCTGCTTGGTAGCTTCCTGTAGGATTCCCCCTGGCTTCCTTGAATTCAGAAGGTACCAAAAGAAGAAATCTAGAAAAAAAACTGAAAAACACCAAGTGTGCATTTTCTGTTCATTACCTGTCACCTTCAGCTGAGAGATGGTCCTGCACCGAGGGGCGGAGTGGCTGGGGCTATGTCTATGAGTGGGGAGAAGGTGCTTGCAAGAATGCTCCTTTTGCACTGGGCCCTGGTGTGAATGAGTGGGGAGGGACTGTGGGCAAGTGTTGTGGATCTGACTCCTGCAGATAGTGCTTTGATAAGCCCCAATGTATCCAATCAGTCCTATAAAGATCTACAGAACAGAAAATGTTTCGTGTCTCCATAAACATGCGGCCATATGCTGGTACCTCACTCCATATGCATGCACTCTGACACTCCATGGAGGCAGCACAGCGGAAATGAAATGCATTGCCCTCCCCACTGCCCAGCTGGTGCTGCTGTGTGGCTGCCTCCTGGGCTGCTGGAGCCACAACACCACTTAGTGCCTGGGAGTTCCTCACGGCTGCCCATTGCTTCAGTCCTAATGCCAAGTGAAAGATTAAAGCAAGCTACCCTCCCTCCTATCTTCCCCTTTCAGTGGCCATTATCCCATCTCTACCCCTTCCTGCCTCTGCTGTTTGTCTGTCTCCAGGTCTATCCCAATGCTGATGGCCAGGCTGTGTGCTCTCTTGCCAGAGATGGTCACCAGCCCTTTGCCTTCCAGCCTGCAAGAACAGAGCCAGAATTCATCTCTGAGTGCTGAAACTGGACACCATTTTATCAGTGGCCTGGAATGGGAAATTGGAGCCTGGGATGAGAGAACTGAATAACTTGAGCTTGTTTTCATTTCATGTTTAATTTCCTGCAGGCTTAGCTCAGTCTTTCCGCTCCTTCCACCAGCCTCCCAGGGTTTTATGGGGGAAAAGGGATCAAGATATATTACTTCTTGCTTTGCTTTTTCTTTTTTCTTTTTTCTTTTTTTTTTTTTTTTTCTTCTCCAAGGCAGTGATTTCTCTACAGCCACGTTTGACATTTCCCTCTCACTTTCAAGCCCCTGCCGCATCACAGGGGCACCACTGAAAAGATCTCCTTAGCAGTCCTAGCAATCGGAGTGCTGGCCCTGAAGGGGGATAGAGGAGGCATTGCATTCCCCAGGCACAAATCCCCATCATCTCATCCTGCCCCATCCCTTCTGCCAGGGCTCTGAATGGTGCTGCTGGGGAGGGACAGCACTGCCTGGATATGGAGGAAAGCCAAGTATGGGGATGCTGCTAGGTGCCCACCCCAGCCCATAGAACTAACAGGAGCCTCTCCGCATTCTGCTGAGACACAGCCACAGCTGATATGAGGAGAAACAGCTGTAGGGAAGAACATGGAGCCCTGCAGATTGGTCTGGACAAGTGGGTGAGAAAAGTCCTGCAGCTAGGAATGAACCTAGAATTAATATGCACAGGGATGCTGGCCTAGCTGCTTTGTTTGTGACAAGTGCTTGCAGGGTTCAGAGCAGAAAGCAAGCGGGATTCCTGGTTTGAGAGGTATAACCAGATTTCTTCCCACTCCAGATATTCCTGATGTGAACTCACTAATGTGAGTTGTAGAAGCGGTGGTGCAATGAACACCTGAATACAGGAGTCACAGAGTTAGCCAGATGACAAAATGATGTCCCAGCTTCCCAGCAGCCTTAGGTGGCCATCAAAACATGAGTTATAAATATCTGCTCTGAGCAGTGGTTCTCTGTTTTGCCTATGCTTCTAAGCTCTGCTAAGCCTTTGGGTTAATATTGATTCAAGGGAAAGAGAAGCACTTAAACTCTATTGTTTCGGGGTTTGGCTGGGTTGGACACCCAGGTTAGCAGCAGGGAGCTGACACCTTGCTGGTGGCAGCTGTGAGACTGCATCACAGCCACTCATCTCTCCTGGCCCTCTGAGGCAGAGGGATTCACCCAGCCCATTGCCCCTTCAGCTCAAAGACAAGGGGCTCAAGGCTCACCTACCCCTATCCCAGCCCAAGGCATTGCTGTTACCTGTACTCGGGCCTCAGTGAGGTCTGTCCTCATGGCTAGCTGCTCCCTGGCATACACATCTGGGTAGTGGGTCTTCTGGAAGACTTTTTCCAACTCCTCAAGCTGGTAGCTGGTGAAGGTGGTACGGTTCCTCCGTTTTTTGCCCTTGTTGCTCTCCGAGTCCGCTTTGTCCATGGGGCTGGGGAGGTCCGTGTTGGCCCTGTCCTGAGGGACTTTCACTCCAGCCTCCTTCACGCTGAGGTAGCTGCTGTCCATGCCCGAGGGGTCAGCGTTGGGCTGCAAGTCAGCCTCTCCCAAGCTGCTCTCCTTACCTGCTTGGTTTGGAGGGAGAAAGAGGAGAAAATGTGTACAAACCTTATGGCTGATTGGCTGTTTCGACTGAGAGCTCCAACAATGGGAAAAGCCTTTAATAGAAATGAACAGAAGGTGACAGGGAGAAGACACAGGGAAAATTAGAGTCTGCATTTGGGACAGGGTACAAAGGGTGCTACACTATGAGCATGTGCCCCCACATGTCCACACATCCTGGTTGCACTCCAGGCAACCCCACAACCTGCTGTGAGGATTCACACTGCCACTGGCAAAGCAGAGCCCAGCACTACACAGAGGGCTAATGTAGGACACCTGCAGAAAGCCCCAGTCTGGTACAGGATAGAGAAACACTGCCTTCACCTTCATCTCCTGCAGAACCTACAGAGAAAGGCTGCAGGAATGCTTTCTGCTCAAACCCTCCTTACCAATGAAAGAACACAACACCTTGCTTGTTTTTCTTTTTAAGATTTCATATTAGCTTGCTTTTAAATGTGCCCAGGAACAACCTTTCTGGGAAACAATTCCACCCTATGAGGAGCTTTCCTTTGAGATAATTTTGCAGTGTCACTTCCAAGGTCATTTATCCAGAAACCTTTGCCAAAGTGTCTGGAAATCCCTATTTTTTTTTCAGCATTTATCTTCTGTTACAACTTCATTCAGCCTAATTCATCACTTATATGTAGTTTTGCTGTTTGGGATGAAATGTGGCTAATGCTCTTGGGCAGAAAGGCAGAAAGTTGACTGTGGGAGGATAAGACATGAAAGGACTTTGAGAAAGAAATTGCCTAATTAGTGCAGAAAAGTGGCCAGGACTGGCACTGATGGTGGAGGTGTAGGAGCTATTTGCCTCTACCACTGTAATGGATTTTCAGAAGAAGGATTTATTGCTGCTCTCTCAGACTCTTGAGGTGCTCAAACAAGCTTCATGTTGTCTGTCATCCTCCGTGCTTTGGTATGGTTCTTAGGAGGATTCATCATGCTGGGCACTGAGTATATCAGTCACATGCTATACCAATGATACTTGTTAATTCATAGAATCACAAAATCATTAAGGCCTGAGAAGACCACTAAGATCACCAAGTCCAACAGTCAGCCCATCACAATTGTGCCTAATAACAAGATCCCTCAGTGACACACCTACATGTTTCTTGAGCACCTCCAGGTGACTCCATCACCTCCCTGAGCAGCCTGTTCCAATGCCTCACTTCTCTTTCTGAAGAGGTTTTCTTAACATCCAACCTCAACCTCCCCTGGTACAACTTGAAGTCCTTCTCTCTCATACTATCACTGTTACCTTCATTTCTTTTTTTAATTTAGTAGGTCAAGAAGCTGGGTGCATTTCCATCCATGCCTTCGTGCTGGCTGCCTCCAGTGCTCCCAAGATTCCTGCAGCAGAAACACATGCCCTGATGCCATCCATTGGTGGCTCCCTGCTATTTCTCACCTCTAGTGCTCAGCCACTGGCAGTCCACAGGCAGAAGGGCAGGAGGTGGCCCACAGGAATGGCATGCATCTTTCTTTGCTCCACATCCAGAGGAGCAACTGCCATTCCCTGGGAACAGGATCCCTGACCTCAAACCAGTCATGCTAAATACTGAAGTGAAACAAATTGCATACATCTGCATATGGATATGTCCAGACTTCCTGTAACTGGAGATGGCCTCAAAGTTTCAATGCAAAGTTTGGGGTGTCTGTTTCTAATCAAATCTAACGAGACCTTGAGTTACATATTATGAAGATCTCCATGACAAGAAGGTAATGCGAGCATTGCTACACCCTTACAAGCCTGACAGAGCTGCTCAGTGCCTCCTCTGCTACTCTTGGCTCCCCCCTCACTCTCATTGTGGTGGAAGGAAACGTGCTGTCTTCTCCCAGTGCCTCATCTATATGCAGTGCCACCAGTACTGCCATGCCTGAGTCACCCACCGGAGGTGCCAGCAGACAGCATGGGAGAGCCAGGCTTGTGTGTTCCCAGCATTGTGATGCTCTGCCATAGTTTCTTTCTGGATCCCTGCACAAAGGGAAATGTCTTTTTGGTGCCAGAACATATTTTTATGGGACCTCAGGTGGGAGAACCCATAGCACGCTGTGTGCTTGGACACTGTGGTGGCCAGGTGACCCTGCAATGATCCCAGTATGTCCATTGATCCCTCCCCACAAGGAACAGGCTTCTAGCCACACTGTGGGTTCACAGCACGTATCTGGATTCCTAACTGGCTGTTTTGGAAAGATGAGGATGTAAAGTCTTCTCTGTATACAAACAGAACCATGAAATTTAATTTGAAGTCAATTCAGCTTGGCACATCCACATGGCAGGGGAGAGCAGGGCGTCTCCAGTGTGCACAGCAGCTTTGGGCTCAGCTCAAAGCAATGTCTCCTTTACACAGCATCTGCTGGGATTCCTCTGAGCAAAGGCAGACCCCCACAAGGGGAAACAGCAAAGCACCCCACAAGGCTGCAAGACACCTACATGGTCAGCACAACCCACAAACACTGCTGGCACATGGCTGTTTCCCCAGTGCACTCTGTTGGCAGCATATGGTTTGATGCTTCAGTAGCAGCCCTGAAGTTCAGTCCTAGCATTGGCAGCACTGGCTGCATCTCTTACTGAGGAGGACCTGCAATACCATTCAGATTGCAAACCTTCAGGACCCCATCAGCAGCAGCAATGCTACAGTCCTGGTATCTTTCTCCACACATGGTGAAACTGTTCTGCTGCTTTTCCAGGTTGGCTGTTGCAGCCTCCTGCCTGCTGCTGCAGCCCAAGAAGCACAAGGCTATCATTTAAAAAAAATTCACATTTGGGGTTAGATATGAATAAAGAAGCCCAGCTGCTCCTTTTTATCCTTTGTTAGTAGGAAGGAATATTGAGGTTTATTCCTGTAAAGGAGCAAGCACTCTGAGGTCTACAGATAGAAAGATGGATTCAAAGATGGAGAAAAGATGCAGAACTTTGTGTCTGGCTCTAGAATCACTGATTTTATTAGCAGTGAGCAAATAACCAAACCTCCACACTGGGTCACAGGTGGAACACTAAGCATCATCCCTCTCCTAAATGCAAGAGGTGGAAGTCCACATGAGGAGTTACCACTGTAACAACTGCAGTGCCCTTGCTGCTGGTGGGAACTGAGTGGAACACCTCAATTCCCACTCCAAATAAGGACAAGCACAGCTCCTTGTGCCCAGCCTGCCTGCAGGTCCCTGGAGCCTGCATGAAGCTGAGCAGTCCCCATGTATATACCCACCTATCACACAGACCAGAGCCTTGCATGTGAGTACAGTGCTTTATTCCCTGAGCAGATGAATTTGCACACCCCTTGGCTACATACACAGAGCTCAGCATCAGCTCCAAGAGTGCACCACGCACTGCCTGCTCCTCTCTCATGATATTTAAAGGACACTAACAAAACTGGCTTTTACAGAAATAAATCTATTTCATCAACTCTGAATGGAAGCTGTGGCTGGAGCAAAAAGGCACAGTTTATGCCCCAAATCCTTCTCTGTGAGGCACACCCATCTGAAGAGCAGGAAAGAGCTGACAGCAGATTTGGAAAGCACAGAAATGGTTCTGCTGCCATTGCAGCTCTCCTACTGGCTACCAGAATGCAGCACAGGAAAAGAACTGGAGCAAGAGAATGCACAGCCATTGCCCTTGCTGGGAGCGTATGAAACTGCTGGGCTGCATGCCAGCTGCTTCACCTCTGATGGTGAAAGGAGATGAAGGTATATGCTAGATACTGGAGCTGGGGATCTTGCCTCTCCTTCATGAGTCCGTGTATTCTCATTGACCAGGCTCTCTTATCTTTAGTGTTGCAACACCTACACTGATGGCAGTGACAAAAGTGCCCTGGGGACAGGCTGCTCTACCTTGTCAGGGGCAGGAAGGATGGCTTTTCAAGTGGCAGTGGAGGGAAGTGACAGTCAACAGTATGTGGCTCTGGGCAGCCAGACCTAGGTGATCCCACAGAGATAGCTCAGTGCTTAGAATGGTGAAGGCTATCAATTGTAGAATCATAATGGTTGGGAAAGACCACTAGGATCCCCTAGTCCAACCATCAATCCTTCACTATCATGTCCATTAACCCACATCCCCAGTATTCCAGGCTATATGAAAAGTCCAACTGGAATGTCTGTGGATTTGTGCTACATCCTACTTGCAATCTCCTCCAAGAAGTATGCACCCGTAGCAAAATCTACCCTGCCACTCTAAACCTAGCCATCACCAACAAATGTTTGCTCAGGAAGGGAGATAAGGCAGACAAGGACCTGCAGACAGTTTGGAAAGGCTTGCAAATTCCTTTTAGCCCTGGATTTGATACCTGTAGAAGTGGTCTCCTTCTTCCAAAGCATTTCCACATTGTCTCAGTCATAGACTCACGCCTGCACGCCCACCAGTAGCTATTTGGATTTCATCCCCAAAGGGTCCACAGACCCTCAGAGGTAAGTGAGGCACCCCAGTGGGAGGTGAGCTGGGCTCCCCAGTTTGTGAGATGCTTGGAAACTGGAAAGCTGAAATAAAAACAGAAAACACCCAAAGCTGGCTGAACCTCACTGAACCACAGAAAAGGCTGAATTTAAATTTTGGACCAAAGTGTGGGCCAGGTTCTTCAGCATAACTGTTCTGCTGCTTCTCAATTTTATACAGCTGATTAGTAAAGAAAGGCACAGATGAGGGAAGGAAAACATTCGGCCCTTACCAAACGTGCCTGTTCTTGGAAGCACAACTAGAACTTGTTTCCATTCTCACTGCACATCACAAACCTCAGGGCCAGCCAGGTCTGGGAACTGCTAACGTTCCACCAGGCTTTTGTAGGCACTCCAGAATGAAATTAGGATTTCTGGCTACCAAACCAAAATTCACAGTCAGTGGGGATGGGAGGCAGGCAAGGATCAACTCTATTGGCAGAGAGGAGCAGGGCAGCAAAATCACAAACTGAAGCAAAAAGCAGTATAGCTGGAATGGGAACTTGCTGACCAAGAATGAAGATGAAATAACAGT